CAGTTTTCTCACTTGTACTGAAAATGTCACTCTAACAGTTATCTGTCTGCACAGTCAAGTTTCGAGAAATCTCTTGAATTTACCGCATTCACACCATTCTCCATCCCGGTGCTAAAAATGACTAATGTAGCTTGGAGACGGGGAGACTGTGATAGCGGATCATCTCCTTCAGTCGTGTGCGAACACTCACACACACACTCACACACACACACATGCTCAGCTGACATGAATCCTTAAAGGTTTAAAATATCCTACATGCTAAATGGATTGTGAGGCTGATGGGACACTTTTCACATAGCGTTCGTTTCAGTGTGGTTGGTTCTATCCAAAAAAATTGGTCTGGTTGTTTGATTAAATAGACTGATCTTATTTTTAACCAAATGGGCCACTATGGCTTTATTTTCTATTTAAAGTAATCTCTGATGTTGAATTGGTTCAAATATATTATTTAATTTTATCCTCTCATTGTCTCTGAGAAAAGTGAAGTGCAGTGCATTCCTCTCACCCCTTTTTATTTGAATAAGAGGAAACAGCCTTAGAGAGAGAGAGTGACCTACCTGAAACCATCCAGAGTCATGCAGTAGTCAAAGGCTCACTGTCTTTTAGGGGCCCTAATGAGTCCCCATAAGCTAGCTTACGGTCACTGGAACCAAACTGTCTAAATGGGCTTCATTTCCTTTCTTGGTGAGTGCTATTCTGATGGCTAAAGGGACTGTCACAGGCTCAGATGGATCCTACTCCCAGAAAAACATGTGGCAAAGTCTCCTGTGACATCATTCTGGGATGATGGAGGAGCGTGTGGGCAGAATGAGGATAATTAGGTGAAGTGGGGGCTGATTTTACCCAAAAGAGGAGGATCCCTTGATTGTCATTAACTTGCAGTGAGGTCTCTAGGAATTTCCCATAAGGCTTTATTTTCGGTCCTGTCCAATTCAACAATTTTATCCAGTAGCTGGAAGAAGTCTAGGAACTTGCTTACTAAATTTGCCGATGACACAAAGCTGGTAAAGAAGTAAAGATTAGTAATTCACTGGATGACAGAATCAAGTTTTTAAAATGTCTGTTACTTAGGATGATGGGTTGACATTTATCAAGGATAGAGATAAGGTCCTTGATGTAATTAGAAACAGAAATGGTGATACGATGATTGGAACTGAACTGAGAGCAACTGTTAAAAATTAAAAAACCCTCAGGTTTTAATTGACCATAAACATGATGCAACTACTGAAAAAGTCACTACAATCTCTGTTAGCATTTGAAAGAGAGAGAATGAGAGAGAGAGAGGGAGAGAGGGAGAGAGAGAGAGAAGTTTGCTAAACCTAACATACCTATCCTGTTTGTATCTGTTTTGAGTATTGTGTTTGGTTCTGGAAACCATGATTTGAGAAAGATACTGACAAATTGTTGCTTGTTTTAGTGGATGAGGGGCTTTTATAGTGAAGAATCAGGGAATCATGCAATATGAAATATTTGGAGTGGCTTGTCTGTAAAATAGCAGGGAATCATAATAGCTATCTTTATTGAGCACTTATTGTGCATGTTAATATCTTAATCCTTTCAATAACGGGGTGAATTATTTACTGCTGTTATTGGCATGCAAATGAAGACACACAACTAGACTACCTGGATTTGAATCCATATAGTTTGACTACAGGATATACGCTCTTAACTCCTAACGTCGTACCACATTATTTCTCCAAATATTTATCAGATGTTTGAAGAGTTGCTAAGTGGATAGAAAATTAGACTTATTCTGTGGAGTATAGTTATAAACAGGTAGGCAGACTCAGGATAATTCTCAAATAGAGAATTTTTCTGGGCACTAGAATATGATGGTATATCTTCCAGTTTTTGGTGTAATGTTAGACTAGGTAACATCCAATTGTAAGAGTTTAACTTATCAGGATGTGATTTGATGTAACACAGTATTATTATGAATGGGAAAAAAAAACACTTAAAAGAAGTAATTCAAATTAATCAACAGTGATTTCAAAGGTATTCTTTTGAATACAAGTTTTGAGACTGCCCCACCCCCTCACATCCATGTTGCTAAAGTTATATAAAATTTACATAAAATTAATATAAATTATATTTATATAATTATATAAATTATATAAAAATTATATTAAATTATATTTAAAATTATATAAAATTTATATAATATTATGTAAAAATTATATAAAAATCTTAATCCATCATTTACTGTGTCTAGAATATTATCAATAATATCCTATATGCAGATCTCCATCTTAGGAGATTGGATTGCAGAAGTAACAAATATTATTAAAAAGCCCTCACACTGGGTGATTCTTCACAGCAGTCTGATATCTTAAAATCAACATTGGCATTGGTTTCAGGATGCTGAGAGAGTCAGATCTCTGTCAGGGGCC